AGGATCCATGGGGATCTACAAGGATCCACGAGGATCCATGGGGATCCAAGAGGATTCACAAGGATCCATGAGGATCCAAGAGGATCCATTATATAGGTTATTGTTCCATGTAATAAGTAGCTATTAGAAGGTTCATTCGTTTTTGTTTTACATGTATTATCTCATTTCAATATTATAGCAAGATTTTACGTCTATCCTGTATACAGACAGAAACTGAATGGAAGTATTTGCTTCCGTTTTATTGTCTTGTGATCACATATGAATAGTAATAGTTTTTAAAGATTTGCGAATTTTTTAATAATTCAAACAACACCATCGAAAAGAATGTTATGATTTAGCGTTTCTACTAATGATTTTTTCTTCATATTAATTAGTTTCCGTTCTCTATTTAAGAGGCTCTAGTGATATTATCAATATATTGCCGCGTATTTAGAGAAACCTTTGAAAAAATGTATATTGAACTTCAGTTTACAATCTTTATTTATATATAATGTCTAGTAATATAAATGAATGAACATGAATACATCAGTTTTGATTTTTTGTTTGTTGAACTCGTATTTGTCTGTCAGAAGACAAGAAGTTTTTATTAATGGTCAGCATTCTTACAGCAGTCTGTTTGTGAATATATTTTTGTTTGTTATTGATAAAAATTTTAAGATAATGACACGCTTTTGCTGGATTAATTGTATCAAATATCCTCATACCTTGAAATGTTTGTTTGGATACTTTTAAATGATAAGGATTTTGACCATCATCATCTGAAGAATCCTCATCAAATTCAGAATCAATTTCAGGATGATCAACAACAATATGTTTATTATTATTATTATTATAATTAGTAGTATCATAATTATTATTGATATTATTATCAGCATCATCTGAATCTACTTCATCATCATTATTATTTACAACAGAATAATCGATTGTTGAATTTTTGCTAAGTTGCTCGAAGACAAAAGAACTAAGTTTATTCATATCATTTAAATTATGTTTCTTCAATAATTCAATTAAATTTAACTGTCCCATCATTAATTCGGCTTCATGATAAGCATTAATAATAATCTTTTCGATATCATGTAATGTTAATGTAGATAGATTTTGATTATTCATTGATTCACTTGATTCATTAGGTTGATGCTTGTGATGAATAGGAAATCTTATTTTACATGTAGTATTATTCGATTCTTCAGTAGATTTGATATGATTTAAAATTGAAATTTTTCCTACTTTTTTCAGAAATTGATATACAGAAAAGTTGGTGATTGATGAAAACATGCCGCTCAAGGATCGAGCAGTACGGAAAGCAGCCTCACACGGCTGGCTACTGAAGAGATAAGTGTTCAATGAATAAGGTGGCAATTGACCTGTAGATACCAGTACAATGATGGATGTTAAACAATGAATGTTGATTTCTGCTGAATAAAATGCAGATCTCGTGATGAAATACTTCTCTTTCTCTTGTGAAGAAAGATTTTGATCAAGTTGAACACTGCTCCTATGCAACAAAGAGAAAATACATAAAAAACTATATGTTGATTTTGATTACCACCACATTCGGTATGCAAACACAACTACCCAACCAAAGAACAAACGATTTTGAATACTAGTATTTGATTTAACGTAAGTTAAAATTAGTAACTTTAATAAATATAAATATATATAAGTTCCTTTGGCATTTATTTGTTTCAATAAGTTTAATACATCATCAGATGTGATTTTAAGACATGATGTATAATTTTGTCTATCATGAGGAACTATATCACTTTTAATTAAATTGTGTTCAATTTTGGAATAATTTTCAAGTATATGAAAAAGATAACTAACACTAATATCATGACCATTAATACATAAGTTTGCTATATTTGATAACAGACGATTCCTAACTTTAGTAACAAGATGAGTACCATCTTGCATTACAAGAAATGACTGAATTTTTCTCATGTAAAAAAAACGCCATGTTGATGGAATTCCTATATTAAGAATATTATCATTTCCAGTAATTAAATCGATATTTGGTGCTCTTGTAAAGAATCCTAATGCTAATCTCATAGCTTTGAGATATTTCGGTGCACAATCGGATGAGAAACCTACAAGACGAATATCTCGTTCTTTACATTCATTGAATAAAAACATCCATCGGCGTAGAATATCTGTTGCCGTGACTACATCATCCGTTCCATACGCTGAAAGTATGTAAGGTCTTGAATGTGCATGTGATGAATTATTTGTTGGTATAGGTTCAATTAAATGTGTATTAATTAAACTTGATCTGTTGGTATGTTGAAACCAGTTTTCTAATTCATGATAATTATCAGTTTTAAATGTATTCATTAGAGGTAAACCATTCATCAATGGTGAGCAGAATCCAATGAAACAGTCATCTTTAGAATCATAATAGATTGACTGGATAACACTAGTTGTATCTTCAGACTATAAAGAAAAAATATTTGATAAAGTACGGCTAATATTATTAGAGAAAAATGAATCCCGATAAGTTTTTGATGAGAGAAGTAGCACATATTAATGAACTCAGCAACGTTTTTAAACGTTTCTTCAATATTTAATGATCAACATAAAAATGCCATAGTGTTCATGGAAATCTATTACATATTAACGTGTATCGAAATCAGGATCGATTGTTACACTTATATATATTTTCTTCTCTCTTTAATCAGGTTTTCTCAATGATAAATAATTCATTCGTTTTGATTGATCTTTATCAACTAAAATATACTCTATAATTCTTGAGATTCTACAAGATAATCTTCATTATCTTCGGTCTTCAATTTTTATCAAGCGCCTACCGAGAAGATATAGTTTGCATCAATTGCAACTAAATGGTTTTTGAGTGAATCAAATCTAAATTCACATTCACGTAAACCTAAATTAATATTTTCATTGAATGTATTTAATGTAACAACTGAAGGTAAAGCACCAGGTAAATTGTTACGAACGAATGCGTATGCATGATGTCCTGATAGTATGTGTAATGCTGACGCAAATTTATTAACAATTTCATCAAATTTGTAGTTATTGCTAGGTCGTTTCGTATTCTTCAAATAGTTATCAATAAAGACTTGTGCAAATGATTTTAGTTCACTTGGTTCAATGTTTTGTGTATTAAAGTTGGTAAAGTTGTACATATGATCATTTTTTTCTTGAACTATAATATAAGTATATATGTTACTGTTGGAAGTAAAATCATTTAGTAATACCTTTTTTTGATTCTTCGTGTTTTTTTAATAATTCAATAAACAACTCTATGTTTGATCGAATTCCTGTCTTTACAACAGCTTTCATATCTTCATCAACGAAGCAAGCTCGTTCTTTTAAACTATTTATTTCTTTATTATTGATAGTAAAAAATGAAAAGACATCTGGTACTCGTAATAAAATTCGAACGTTTTTTATTTTTTGTATCTTTAAGATATCAGATTCATCAACGCCAATAAATTCTTTAACGAAATCGTAAAAGGCATCGTCCGAAAGTGATGGAATAATGTCGAGAAACTGTGATAAATCTTCAATATTAGCCATAGTTGAAAAATACTGAAAAACTATTTGAAAAATTGTATGTTATTTATCGAGTCAATTAAACTAACATCAAATTATTAAGATGTCCAACTGAAGTCAAAATTTGTTCATAATTTTATTTAAAATAATTTAACTATACATCAAAATGAAAGAATGAAAAAAAAACAAAATTTAAGTTGTATTTATAGGACCTGACATGAACGATTACAAAAAAACTAAATTCATATATGTCGTAAGTGATAATTGACTAAAATATAAAGAACATATAAAATAATTAGCTGTTGCAGGTAATTCACATATTATCATGTTTTTGATTTTTTTTTAATTGTCGATGATGTTGAATGTCGTAAAGTTCGTCTTTTTCCAACAACAGATGAATTTTGTGAAATTGAATGATTAATTTCAGCTTGAAAACTATCGTTATATTTTGTTGAATTATTATCATCAAAATCTTCTTCAATATCATCATCACTATTTTGTGAAAAATTAATCGATGATCCATTTATTTCATTTAAATTTATATTTGATTGTTGTCTTTTTTTCTTCATCATAAGGCATTGACTACTCTTTGTATGTTTGAAATATGATGATAGTTGAAATGAATCTGTTTTTGATCGATAATTAATTTTAATCAATGAATTACATTTGCATTTGATGTATCCTTCTATATCCTTATTCAGAAAAGTTAAGAATATCGTATAATCCTGTTTGTTTTCTATAGTAATATTGGTAAAGTTTTTTGATGAAAATTTTTCAATACTAGTAGAAATTAAATCTACATAATCTTTAATTGACATAGAATGTGATGCTGTAGTAGTTGTTGTTGGTATTGGTGTTGAATCGATAGAACCTAAACTTGTTATTGTAACATCTGTTGTTGGTACTGATGTTGAATCACCAGAATCTAAATTTAATGATCTGGTGGCTAATGATGGTGTTAATGTTAAATCAATAGAATGTGCATTTAATGTTGAATTACTTGTTGCTTGTACTAATGTTGAATTGGAAGAATTCAAATTTGATTGATTCAATGATAGTTTAAATGTTGAAGAATGATTTTTGTTCGAAGAACGTGATGATGTTTTTAAACGTTTTGTTCGTTTGATATATTCAGTAGTTTTTTCTTTAAGTGCAACTAATAAATCATCAACACCACCTTTGACTCCTGCTTTTACAATAAATTTATTATTATTGTTTTCATCGATAAAACATATACGATCTTGAATATCAACAAGTTGTTTGCATTTTATATTAACTACAGCAAAAACATCTGGAATATTAAGTAATGCTCTGATATTTTTGATAGACTGTATTTTGAATAACAACATTTCATCGTCACCTAAGCAAGTTTTAATAAATTCATAAAATTCATCATTTGCAAGAAAAAGAGTTTCGTCAGGTAAATTATTTAAATCGATGGACATCACTGTTTGTGATATTTACTAAAAAATAGATGTATTTGAACAGAAACTGATATGCACATAATTAGAAGAAAAGATACTGTATAAATGTTTGCGTTATATACCTAAGTTTCTTTCTTTTCGATGCAAGATAAAACGAATAAAGAATCTGGTGTTTAATATTATGAAAAAAATTTACACGCAGATTAAAATTTATTTAAACTTTAAAACCATATTTAAATGGATTGTAATATATTCGTATT